GCATTTGTTTACTAATGACTAAAATGTGAGAAAATAAGTGGTATGTCTGTTTGAAATGCTGAATGTTTACGCGAGTTTTCGTTTCCTTACAAAATATATTCCCCAATATTTTAGGTTGTAATTAAGTAGTTTTTAAGTCATGTTACCAAAGTAAAGTAATGACTTCTGTTGTTAGAGTCAGCTTTTTAAATTTGGTATGTAGCTCACACAAGCTGACTCTATTTTTTTAATCTTTTAATTTGACAATCGAAAACAGATAATGTTTCGACAGTCTTTCGTCTTCACTTAGTTTTCTGAAAAAAACTCAGTTTAACACAACAATACATGATTGAATATATTATAAGGCATATTATAGGGCAAGATGTCGCTGTCACTTTCTTATGGGGAATCTCTCAACTGCTTCTGCCTTCTTGTCCGTCGCTTGCACATTTACACAAATATACGTTAAAAAAGGAAATTGTACCCATTCTAATAAAACTCAATTTCTGCTCCTCCGAACATGCATGTTTTTGCTCAAACCAGCTTTTCATTTATTCGTCGTTTAAAGCCATTTCTTATTTTTTTTCTTACGCTTAGACTGAGACTACGTGGTCATTTTCTATCGTTTTTTACATTTTGCTCACTAATGCTTGCTACTTACTTGGCCGTGACTCAGCTATCGTTATGCGGTGTAGAGGAACACGTTCGGGCGCGTTGTTTTTAAAGCAATGACATATACGACAACGTCGGACAACGATAGTTGGCTCAAAAGAAAGCTCTACATGCGCAGACTTTAAAAAACACTCGCTGCGCTGATCCAACGGGTAATCGATTTTGTATTCTGACCGTCGACCGCATACTTGTATTTTTTCTGGGTAATTTACCTCTGTCGCACTCTAAAAATAAAGGCCAACAGATTGTATAAAGCAACTGTCTCAGGTAAATTTGTATTTGATTACCCTAGTTAGTGAACGGGTTATCGAACGGGATTTACTTCCAAGTGCTGGTAGCAAACGAGTCAATTCCGTCGCCTAATTTATTCGGGAGTCGTAAAAAAGACAGGAATACGTATTGATTACGCGATTAACCCTATCGTCACGCGCTTTATCCAAATCTGTAGTTTTAAGGGGCTTTTATCGAAGCAAAGAATTTCCCGCTAGATACATGCAATGAACTTCTTCTTACCTCAGTAACAATAGGAGTATGGCCGAGAATGTGTTAAAGTAGCGTTGACCCTCTTCATTGTAATTTATCGCGTTTTCCTAGCTTCCTCCTGAAAAAGCACAAAAAATCGGCCGTGTTGGCAACCTTGCACTTTACAAAGCTTGTTGGCTATAATTGCGCAAGAGCTTCTTTTGTTATAACCTTGTGATTGAGTTCCACCCGTCCCCGTGACCACGTGCTCACGCGCCTTTTACAGCTTCTTCTTTTGTATTTCTACATAAGATAGGGGGGGGCTAGGTCTAGAGCTCTCTCTTTGATATAAATTGTTTAGTCCATAGAGCTGAATTAAGTTACAGATTGCTGTACAACAGCAGCAGTCACTGAAGAAAAATTATGATGATGTAAATGTCTCACTTTACCCCGTAGTATACTCATGCAACGCGATCAGCCTTTGCTAATGAGTGTCTACCCTTTGCTAATATGCAAATATTTACCTATGATCGGTTTTAAGTCTATCGCGTACGTGGGTCACGATAGTGACTTATTTTTAAGAGTAAAGTTGGATGTACTTATATGACTATACGGAGAAGACAGGCTATATCGCACTTATTAAGTGCGAGGTACGCCTAGCCGCGTTATTGCGAACCCGAAGGGTGAAGCTATTAGTGATTGTGCGCAAGGCGGATGACGATATTTTTATATCGTACTTATATCTGTGTGTGCCTTTGTGTCTGTAGGTAAACAACGCGGCTAATCGTATCTTAGACGTAGTAAGTGAGATCCATCCTGTCTCCATCATAGGTATATGTAAAGTCACTTTTAGACAAATCAACATTGTGACGCACGCTTGTGTTTGAATTTAAATTGACCAATAGTGAATATGATTAATTTGGCAAATGCTCGACATTCATGCGCATAGGCCGATCGCGTTGCATAAGTACACTGTATTGATATAATACCGACACTAACAGCATCAAACTCATTCTTCAGTGACTGCTTGTAACAGGACACCGGTCGCTTGTGTCGTCATAGAACAATCTACGTACACTGAACACAGAGTAAGGCGGTGCCTCAATACTTCACGAACACGTATCGTGTAGAGGAAGGTTTATATACGAAATGAGGTTAAAAGTAGAACCGTATTTGGCATAGTATAGATTCCATAAAAATAACAAATATTATTCAGTCTTCTGTAGCTATATCTGATACAAAATGTATTGAAATTATCTGCTCACCCCTCATTGCGTTCTTTTGTCGTGGAAAGGCTTTGTTGGTTGATAGCATTAACCAAAATCAACCAATAAGCAGTGTATTACTTCTGTATCACAAAATTACTTGTTAAGCTAACATTGCAAGAGTATGATGTCTGTCCTGACATAATATCTAAACTTAATATTTACCTATTGGAAGTTATCATGAAAATTGAGGCGCCCCGTTACGCTGCTGCTGTGTAGTTGTTGCAACTTGATTCAGTTTTAATTGGATAACTTACATCAAAGATTGACCTCCAGATCTTGCTCCCCTATCTTTTGCAAACAGACACAAGATGAACAGACAGGCACACACAGATAAGTACGATTTAACTAAGGTTCGCCAATCAGCTTGAGCAAAGTCACTATTGTTTCATACTTTGGGCTCGCAACAATTTAAAAAGCTCGGCATCACCCTGTGCAGACTCACGAATAGCTTCATCCTTCGGCTTGCAAAATTTATCTCGGCAAATAAAATACACGTTTTGGGGAACAGCAAATGAGTGATACTCAAATTTGGGCAATTGTTGTATATTTGGGTAAAACTGCAGGCAATGAGCAAGAAGGTAGCGGCGATCGAGTGATTCCCTTCTTTTTGTGCAAAACAGTTCAGTTTTTAATGACAGAAATTGACGTTTAGATACAGCTGATATTGATATCGCTCTCTCTATACACGCCTCATAATTCGCCACTTTTGTATTGTAATTTCAGACTGAGTGAGCTTTACTAGAAAACTGAGTCAAGATCAACGCTTCCCTGCATTTTCTACATTCTAATCTGAATAGCACAATTTAATCAAAATAATATTCAATTAATCTTAGGCATTGTTAAATACATCCCACTTTTTACTAAATACACCCCATTCACCATACCCATAGTACACCAAAATGTGGTATGTACGACGAGTACCGCGCCCACCTACCTATGTACGACCACTTTCGCACAACAAACTACGTCTGTCGTACAAATGGTGAGTGCTTTATCAGTCAATCTCGTATCTGCGAAATGACCATTGCATCAGTCAAAAAGCAGCTTTGAGCACGCAAACCGCCCCTCAGCCCGTCACGAGCTATAGTTACAGTAGCAGAATAAATATATGGATATTAGTAAGTACAAGTGAACAAAAGCACGAAGAAAAATAAACTGTCGCGCATGTTAAGCATCTTGTAGGGTGAACAATACGGCCTCTTCGTATGTTTTTCTAGGAATCCATATATATTAATTACATAGCTCGTTTCAAGGCTAAAAAGGGGGAAAGAACGATAACAAGATATGTGATAAGGCATCTGGTGGTTAGAGACCTTACTCACTAGATCGGATGATGGATATCGGTTACGTGTCGTGCTGCTGGACAGTCACTTTGTTTTTGATCGACATTGACCTGGTCCTTACGCAGATACAGGATAAACTCGATAAGTAATACGTATGGCTGTAAAATATGATTCATCGTTCTTGGATTTAGATTTGCTGCAACGTATGTATCCGACTACGCTCGGCGGTGCGTGAACCATTGTTTCATTTTTGTGCCTTTCTCGACTGAAATATGGCTGTCGCTATTTATTGAAAACCAAATAGCAATCCAGATGTATCCGACATGTAGTGACGAGTGCTTCATGTTCGTTAGTCGATTCGTTTACAGAAGCAAAGAGCACCAATCGTCTATCGCGGGCTAAAAGAAGTTTGCATGGCAAGCCACTTGCCATTTGTACGACAGATGCAGATTGTTGTGCGAAAGTGGTCGTACAGAGGTAGGTAAGGCGCGATATTCGTCGTACAAACCATATTGTGGTGTGGTATAGGTGTGGTGAATGGGGTGTATTTAGTAAAAAGTGGGTGCATTTAACAATACCCTAAGTTTTGGATGTTATTTCTCTTGCGCGGAATGTATCTGAATCAAGGTGATCTACGCCAACAGTGGAGGTGATCTACACAAACGTTGACGATGGTCAACACCGACAACACCTCGGATGCTTTTGCTCAAACGGACGACTAGCTTCGCGACAAAGACCTCGCACAATGGGATTATCTCAACGCTCACCTATCCAATAGCACTTACGTGGGTGGGGTAAAAACTCGTAACCGCAGCACTGAATTCTTCCTCACAAATTTCATAGTCAGTAGATTGCCTCTTGGTGACCATCTCATGAGCACCAGAAGCTTTTGCTTGGTGCCTCTGCAGAAATAACATGAGAGGCCCCCGACTGATCCAATGTAGTCCAGGGCTGCTGTTGCAGTCACCAAAATTGCTAGTCTTCGATGACGATGTTGGTGCTGCTGCACTCGACTTCGCTCGATGTTCACAAGGGCGTGCACTGCACTTTACCTGACAGTACAATGTTACGCACTGCCAGACGAGCTCTTTTATCCGAGACTTTAGGACCGAAGATGTACCCACCGAGCGTCATCGTCACAGCGAATCCATCTATATCTAGCTAGACCATAATGGAGATCGTGAGGAAAGATGCTCGCTCCTCCGCTGTTGCTGTATAGCTCTAACTTCGTAATGTCGTGTTATCGGTGCAGCCTTAACTGCGCATCAACACGTTCAAACATCTCGGTCTTGACGCATTGTCTGTGCTGTGTGTGACACTTGTTGCCATAAAATGCTCAATCACTCGACAGCCTGTCCTTACAATCAGATCTCAACGTCAAACCAAGGGACATCATGTCGTACCGGTCATCCACAATACTGTGCAGAAGCACATATCGTTCACGACGCGAGTCCTTGGACTCAGGTGTCAGAGCTAGCACCTCTTCCATTGTAAATTTGAGCTGCTTTCGGTATCGTGGATGCTTAGCGCACATTGCGTCAATACCACTACGTCCCACTTCCATCAATGCTGACGACATCTCTCGTACCAGTGAAAACGGCAAGTCTATCGACAGCACTTTCATGGCTTTGTCACCACGAGCTGAGAAGCTAGCCGAGATCCATTTCGATACACGACGCGTAACCTTCTGCGTGTCGAGCTGGTAATTTCGGTAGTTTCTGTCCCTCGATTGATACTTCGCGTCAACCAACTTTACATCGAAGATGGGCTGTAAGACGCTGCTCGTCCGTGCGTAGGTTCCGCCGCCGCCGCTAGGGCTGCTGCAAAAAGTTTCTCCAAAATAGCTGTTTCCACGGCCACCAGCTGCAGTGTCACCATATGAGCCTTTGCCAAAGTTTGCTTGGAGCTCAGTCATGAGCTCCGGTAACGAAGCCATATCTGTCACTACGTCTGCCTCAGAATGGCTTTTCACCGTGCGGATCTTCACCTGCTGCTTCTCTCTCATCATGTGTTTTTGCACAATTACCATCCAGTGCACATTGTGTTGAGCGCAGTAGTCTTCCAGGTCTTCGAGATGCAACAGCTCGGGGTGAAGGTACTCTGCACCAATGCCGTATCCCCACAGCAGCATCGCGACCTGCATACGAAACAACATCGTGTCGGATGCCTTCCCTGCCGAACAAATCAAAACTTTGCGGCTACCCGGTATGAAGTCGAAGGTTGACGATTTCGATTCCAGCACAGCAGGCCCCATGGACTCAGCTAGCAGTGACACAATCTTGTCGATAGCGAAACGGACGCCCATTGCAGCAACTTGCGAAGCATTTGCGTAAGCCGTTGTGAGCTTGAAGCGCGATACTAGGGCGTCATAGCGTCCACCCTCAGCAATGATTGTCTGATTGTCCGTGGTGGCAACAAAGTACGAGGCGGTCATATGACTAGCATGGCCACCACCATGTGCGGCTTCCTCAAGCAAAACTGCCTGAAATATGAATCCTGACGTATAGCGTTCGGGACGTGGGCTCAACCCCAGATCTAATCGCACGCATGCTGGACTCGAATGCTGAAGGTATTGCATACCTTGCAATAACAAGCGGAGGGACGCAATGCCTTCACTCACGTCGTGTATAGCTCGTCGTAGCTGGGAGTCACGCTTTTGAATCCGCCTTCGATCTACGGAAGATGCAGAACCAGCGTCACTATCTGCTGCCATCGCTGAGTCACCTCTCGTCAATGCTCGATTCTCAGCAAACAGCTTCTGCGCCTCTAACCCAATAATAGTGAGCGACGCTAGACAGTCTTCCGGTAACAGGAAGAATGGTTTGAGTGCGTCAATAGAGCTTGCTGGTGCCCCGTAGTGCGCCATTCGCTTTGTAACGAATTTCCAACGGCCAGGCTTCAAACTCGGAGCTTGAGTGGAAGACGGACCAGCATGCACGGAAAAAGAAACCTCGTGGGAAAGTAGCCGCAGCACCTCGCGACGGGCGGTGTTAGGAACACGACAAAGCTCAAGAACACCGCGCGTGATACGGGCGTCATTAAAGCGCAAGTAGTAAGAGCCGAGACAGCTGGGAAGTGCCTTGATCACGCTCGATACAACTTCTAATCCCTCCAGCTCCAAGAAGCCAAAAGCACCTCCATCATCCCAAATAACATCGAAATCAGACTCGGTGAACTCACGTGGGTGACTGCCGCCTATGCTTTTTCGATAAACTCGGTCAAACTGAAAGCATTTCAGACGCGAAACATTGTGCCGTGCCACAAAGCGGGCGAGTCTCTCAGTCAAATCAAACGGTAGTGATACGGACACACCGTTACCATCTAGCATCAGTGGTGCGTTAGGTGCGGTATTCGGCGTGATGTTACTAAAACTCTGCTCTGATGATCGTGGCATGAGCAATGGCGTCGATATTTCGACGGCCCCATGGCACTGGAAAACTTTCTGCTCAAACACGCAAGACGCACTGTTTAGACTCGCAACACAATTGCTACAGTAATCGAATGATAACGAACCTGTAGCAGGCTCCTGACGTATGTTTTTGTGCGTAAATATACCTCGTAGCTGCGCATTTTGACCGACTCCATGTGATCATAGGTATAGTCGACGTGATTGAGAGGTGCCTGTGACACCAGAGCTTCAATCAGCTGGCGAAAGCATTTGCCCTGTGGATTCGCGAGCGTTTTCAATGCCTCTCGCAGGTAGGATCCCTCAATCTCAATCTTTGCAGGCAATAATGGACTCACCATGAGCTCCTTTGCATCCGGCCGCCTCGATGGATCATGTTCGCAAAGCCATAGGATTATCTTTCTTACGTCATCAGACGCACAAAATACTTCTGGTAACTCGTGCCTTTCTCTTAGTCCAACAAGTGCCTGTGCTCGCTCCATCAGGGTCGTAAACGGCGGTGACCACATTTCGAAGAACATAATGCCGAGCGAGAATAGATCTGCTTTCTGATTATAGCGCTGTCCTTCTCTCTCTTGCTCAGGCGCCCGATAGAACGCAGTACCGACACCAGCGGTGATACTGCCGTCAATCACGTCCGCCGACATGGTCGTCATCAGGCTGCTATACTGCTGAACACTCGGTGGGCCATCGACTCTTGTGTCTTCCAATGTCTCTCGCTTGAGACGTCCATACAGCTCGGCAACAGATGATCCAGCGGACTGCGATAACATTGCGCCAGTAGCAGTTTCCCCGGACGATGAAGAGCCGCTGTTGCTGCCGTCGTCTTCTACTACCTTGGGAGGCCGAACGGCAAGACCAAAATCCCCTAGCTTTATAGTCCCCTCCGAGTCCAGAAAGACATTCGGCGGCTTAATATCGCGGTGAATAATTCCCTGACTGTGAATGTACACAAGTGCTTCCAAGATTTGTCGAAACATCGTCCAAATTCTGTCAGGATCCTTCCATAAGACTCCTTTGTCAATCACCTCCCGTAGAGCATTTCCCTCGCAGAACTCCATCTGTATAAACAGCTTCTCAAACTTCCTCTTTTTCACGAATTCAGGATTATTATAAAGCAGTGTCTCTCGATCAATTCCACCATCTTTATCTCTCATAAGGTCAATCTCGATTTCTGGAGCTTCTTCCAGCGCTTCCCACTCAGAATCACCATCAGGGTAGCCCTCGACCGCCGAATGCTGTGAAGAAGGCTGAAACAAGCGACTCTTACTACGAAAGATCCGGGAATCGTGACAAGACATTGAAGTCGCCCGTAGCCCTGTACTGCTGCCCATGGCGCCTAGCCAGTCGTCTTCGTCTTCATCTGTCGACGTCATTAGCTCCAGCCTGTCGTCGGCATCCGACGAGAAACTCGCTGCGCCACCCGGACTACCTCTTTCACCAACGACAAGGCTGCTCAACGAGTCTTCTCCGCCACTGAAGTCGCTATCCTCTGGACTAGAATTTCCTTCATCGTCAGAAGACATTCCATGCTCACCTTCTATCCATGCCTGGAAATAACGCACAATATGTCGGTGTTGCATTCGCGAAATCGTCTTCACTTCACGCAAAATCTTCTTCTTCATCGTCTTGTCGTTTGGGTCCACTTTAACCTTCTTCACCGCGTACAGCTGTCGGTCCAGCCGGTTGCGGACCTTCACCACTTCGCCACCTCCTCCACGTCCCAGCAACCCCAGCTCTTTAAAATCACCTAGATATCTGGAATGGTATCGTTCCGATGCCGCAATCGCGTCCGAGTCCGATGCATCGGAGTCCGACACACTAGAATTCCACTTGGAACTCGTCTCCGATTGCTGATCGTATACGTACGATGGACTTGCCACGTCGTCTCGACTTTTAGCACCATCGCTGCCACTCGCATGTTCATCCCAATCCTCAAATTGGTGTCTCCTTCGCCCTCGCCGCGTCTTCTTTTCCAAGGTCTCTCGCTTCTTCCGCTCGGCATCCAAAAGCGCTAATATGGCCTCATTTTTTGCTCGAATGTGTTCTTCTTGTTGTTGCAGCAGTGCGTCGTCTGTTAATTTCTTTTGCGCATCTCGATCCTGCTGTCGAGTGACCATCTGGTCAAAGAACGACGATTGGTCGGACAGACGATCCATGATAAAGTCCGTGGCAAACACCACGAGGTCGTACACGACCGGGTCACCGATTTTTTCCAGTGCATATTTCTCCATTTGGTCCGTCAAATTCTGCGTCTCACTGTCCGAGAGTCCGTGCTTCGCTTCCACCGTGACAACAGGCGGTTCTTTGATAGGATACAATCGCGTATAGTCAAAATGTAGCAGCACTTCTGACGTTGTCGCTGATCCCGACGTGGCCTCACATCGCAATCGAATAGTGAAAATATACGGATACAAAGGCGTCGCGCTCTGCATGATCAGATCGCTGTCATAAATGGACCGAAGGACCTCGAGCTCTTGGGTCTGCAGCTTTCGTGCTTCATCTAAAGTAACGGTATCATGAGTAGCAGGAGTAGTGTCGCATATCGCCGCAGCAGAAGCGTGAGCGTCTGGAAAGACACAGGAAAGAAAGTGAATAGTGTTGGACTATACGTGATACAAGTGAGAGAAGAAGAAGGAAAGGAAAGCCACGTCTGCTCAGCACTCTCTGCAGTTTGTACCTCTCTTCTTCGTCTTTTTGCGGCCCATGCACGGACAAAGGAGATGGTGTTAATTGGACACTCGAGTAAACAAAATGGGTTCAAAATGCACGAATGATGATGCAGCTGAAGTAACGGTAGTAATCCTGTCGCACTTGAAAAGTGGTGGACGAATAATACGTGGCCACGACTGGACGAAAAAAAAGGCTCAAGATCGACTGACGGCTGGTGCAAGTTACCAGCCACGACATTCAACGTCTTAATAAATCTTCGATCCGGGTTGCACCGCTATTACTTCTTGACGTCTGTTGCTATAAATGCCAAGTACGCCGTTGCTATTTGTAAGTGCACCTCGTACTCACAACGACTTGGTTGAAGTTCAAGAGCAATAAAGACAAGGACCTCTGACATGTAGCGACGCGCGGCGATCAAGTATCTTTTGACTCAGTCATTTAACAAGTATCATACATTCAGTCAAAAGAAGGAGCGCTTAAAAGCGACGTGGGGAGGAGCTAGGTGCATGCCATAATCGAAAGGATTATGCATCTGCACTCTTCCTTGTACAATGCATTCCCCTTGATACTGTTGCCAATCGCCAGCAAACCAGTCAATAGCAAACAAGTTGGCGTGACTTCTATCGCCAACCTTGTCACGGAATAGCGCTACATCAATTATAGGCTATGATTCCCGTCTTGCTACTACCGCGGTACGATCTCTGTCCCAAGCTCGCAAGTCGCCTCATGAGTAAAATATCGTCTTTTGTTGAACTATTTTCCCGACAAACGATAAAAAGTGTAACGGGGTAGCCCGTTACTTGATAATGACACCAAACGGTGCCAATAGGGATTTGTCCAGCATGACAATTCCCTGCCAATATTACCCGAGATGGGTAATATTGAAGGAATGGTATTCCCTTTTAGGATAATGTTCATGCGCTGCTCAAAGATCGGTTGATAAAGACCTATCAACCAAGACTACCACCAATCGCTGCTAGACACGCGTAGTGAGTGGTGAGCAGGTTGTCGTCATACGACAATGTAGATTAATATAGTCAGATAAAGACTAAAGTTATATTGATAGATTCACTATATTAATACAGTTCTCTTTTTACCCTTTATTTAAAACTAGCAGTTTGAGTAGATTGGCTTCCTCTGTACGTACTAGTGTACGTGAAGTTTCGTGGCACCCCACACAAATGTGCCCCGTTACACCTGGTAGCTAGTCAATGAGCACTATTGTCCACGACATGCTTCAAGTCTGCCTGTGAGACGTTTATACACGCAAGCACCACTATATTTGTTCGCCTGTGACAAATTATCTTGTGACTTTGTGTCAGGGCTGACAACACTAGAATTTTTTGCATGGTTTTTTTGTTATAAAACCGATGAGTTGAAAAACCTTAAAACTCTACAAAAAATGTTTATCCCGTGGCGCATCCGTGGCGCAGCACATTTCAACCAGCTTCGCACTCGTAAATGGGAGCCGTACCATATCCGACTTGAGCAATGATGGCGCAAGTATATTTAGGCCAGGTGAGATAGAGGATGATTATTCGGTCTTTGAGGTGGAGTTTTCAGTCGTGGATGAAGCACTCGAGCCAGTCAGGAAGACAGGCCGGAGTCAGAGCATGGTATGGTGATACTTTACTGGTGTTGTGCAGCTGCATAAGCTTAAAGCAGCGGTGCGCAAACACTGCCGACTTCTAATTTATCATCACATAAAGAGTGAGTCTGCAATAACCCATCTGAACAAAAGCTCCGAGTTTCGTCACGTTATGAAAGGGCTCAATGTTTTGAAACGTCCAAAAAATTATGTTCAGCAAAAAATTGGCTTCTATGAGCGCAACGTTGTTAAGGCTATGCTAATCTCCGCATCATCTCATGATCAGCGTTTCGTCAAGGAGTATTGCTTACCTTCGCTATCGCGGTCGGAGAAGAAGAAGTTCCAGCTCTATATCGCCATGCACTACTACGCAACAGGGTCGTCTTCACAGCTCGTTAAGAATCTTCGTCTTCAAGGAGCTATACGCATTGTGCTCCTTAACGAAAGCATTATTCCGAATTGCAAGAAGCTTGTAATTGAATGGTTCAACCAGTGCTACGATCGGCCGAAGACAAACGACGACAGTCGCATAAAAGGTGATTATTTATGTCCGGTAACGGTCGGCTGGTCGGACATCAACGATCATTATTTTAACTACATCGCCAAGTCTCCTGCACTCTGCTTTTCCTCGAGTCAGCATCTACTGGAAAGCAAGGTCACAGCGCCGATTGGATTTCGCAGGCCATCATGTGTATATTAGATCACTATGCGCTGTTAACGTTCTGTGGGGCACGGACTTACAACACCTCGGAGAACAAGAATGCCTGAAGACAGCTTAGCAAGGCGCTCCCATCTAGTTACTTTATGGGATGTTGTTATCACGGACTGTGTCCTTCTGTAAAGATTGTGGTCTGCGCGTCACAAACCCTGAAGGGAAACGACAATGAGGCGACGTACCCTGTAGGATATCCATTGTGGGCATGCTCATCTTTTTTTCCGCGTGCAAGAATCTGGTGAAGTTTTTCCACCACCTTAAAATTGTTAAGGCACGCCTGCAAGAGGCACAGAAGGCTGATTCCCAATGTTCCCTCGTTCGACCCGCGCCCGCTCGTTTGGGGAATGTTTAAGCCACGTGACCGTCGGATCTTTGCATCACAGCGCCTGACCTACAGCATCGTTAGCGCTCGTGTGTGTGTAATCGGAACGGCTGCGCAGGATTTTGAGCGACAGAAGATCAGGAACCTCGTCTACGGCAATATATTCGTCTTGAAGCTGAACAAGACCGTCGTAATTATAGAGCCTATCGACGCGCTAATTGTCAAGCAACTATATGGAAGTACCCCAATCCCAGAAGTTGTGCCAGATTTTGATGCCTTCCTGAACAAGTTCACTGCTATCTATATCAATCAGCTGAATCTGCAGTATGTAACGAAGATCGCAGCTTCCCGGTTTCTTTCACATTGTGTGTAGCGCATGTTGTGTCCTGTCTCCTCGACCCTCGCCTTTTCGGTGATGGTTTGCCGCCACAATAAATTCCGTCAACTCGAAGACAAACTTTGTAACAGTCCCATTGATGACACCACACCCGTTAAAGACACTAGGCGGATGTCCTGGTCCAACGAATTGAATGACTTCATCATATCGGCGCGGCATGAGAAGGCTACGAACTCATTTTTACTGGTCATTGCTGATGAAATGAGGAAGACGCTACTTTAATACAGTCTCACAGAAAAGTCCGATTATAGCGGAGCTACTTAGCGCTTCTTAAAAGAGGAAGTCTTAGACTCAAACAGGCTCTTGGTTAAAACAAGCTAATAACGACGTACAGTTGTTTAAGCGAACAAGCTTATAAATTTCGGTTTGAAAGGGATTACGATTCATATAGTCACACACTAACTAGTTACTACTAGTTAAACAAGTGTAAGCGCCTTCAAAAGGCTAACACTCTTACAAAACGCTACGAATTTACTAGGCACTAGCGTCCAACGATTGAAAAGGGAAACTAAACTTTCTTTATACTTGAACTACGGTAACAAGACCCCTGAACCTTGTCTGACTGACTGCTACATTGAGATCCTGTGACAAAGTCTGCTTCCTTATCCTTACTCGAAGAGGTGCGGTATTACCGCAAGCACGTGGTGCCAAAGCTTTATAACTCAGATCCACCGATTTTGCTTGGTGTGTACACACAACATAACCAATATAAATAACCGCGTAGAACCCCGTTAAACCAATGGCAAAATCTGCAGCCTGTAGCAATCAAGCTGTTTTCGATGGCAACATTAAGTGCCGCATCTGAATGAAAATTCTCCACAATGGCATCCTCGATATAAAACTTCGTAATTCACTTAGCGTGACATCGATTGGAATTCATCTATTTTGAGAGCAACATGAGTGCCTTCCTCGACATGCATACCGCAAAGTACTATCCACCAGATGAAGAAGTCGACCCCAGCGAAAGCATTTTACAAAGCCAAAACAAACGTGACGGGGCTCCCTTTATTTGGGGTGCCACGAAACTTCACGTACACTAGTACGTGCAGAGGAGGCTAATACACTTAAACGACTCGTTTAAGTAAAGGGTAAAAAGAGAACTGCATTTAGTTTAGTTAAGCTATCAATATAACTTTAGTCTTTATCTGACTATGTTAATCTACATTGTCGTATGACGACAACCTGCTCGCCACTCATTGCGCGCGTTTAGCAGCGATTGGTGGTAGTTTTGGTTGATGTGTCTTTATCAACCGATCTTTGAGCAGCGCATGAACATTATCCTAAAAGGGAATACCATTCCTTCAATATTACCCATCTCGGGTAATATTGGCATGGAATTGTCATGCTAGACAATATTCCTATTGGCACCATTTGGTGTCAATTACATGTAAGGGCTACCCCGTTACATTACCCCCCCCTAAATTATTAATTACCCGTTGATTGATTAGAATTGATTGGGACAGGGTGATCACCGTTGGATCACAAGTTCAACTCTTTTGCCAATTTATCATATGGTGTCAAAGTCCATGCGGTGCGCTGCCAAATTATTTAGGAAGCCAGTTGCACGCATACGTGCAGTCGAATAGAGTACTTTGGTCAAGTTTAACTCTTTCGCCAATTTTTCGTATGGTGTCAAAGTCCATGCGGTGCGCTGCCAAATTATTTAGGAAGCCAGTTGCACGCATACGTGCAGTCGAATAGAGTACTTTTCTTGCCTCAGCAACAGGTGATCATTCGCCTGCTGTTGCAAGTGAGCAATAGGCAGTGCCTGTTGCGACTAGTCCAAGTGGTAAGTCACCAAGTGCGAAATATTTATCCGCTCCGTCTGCAGCGGGTGTTGCGACTCGCAAGGTGCATGAGTCTGATATACATTCATTTATTTTAGCAATTCGGATAATGCCTCCGACTTGAAGGCGGCGCCTCCTGCCTCCGGACTACCCGGGGCGGACACTGCCAGAGCCAGGTCGACTGGCTTTGGGGAACATAAGGCTAGATGTCCTAGATCTTTGGACC